TGTGAATATTCAGTTGTCCCAGTACCATTTGTTGAATGGTCTTGACACTCCTGTTGAAAATCAGTTGACCATGGGTTTTTTTGTTTGTTTGCTTGTTTTTGACAATTCTATTCCATTGGCCTATATGTCAATCCTTATGCCACACTGATTCAATTATTTTAGCTTTGTAGTGAAATCAGAAAGTGTGAGTACTTTTACTTTGTTGTTCTTTTTCAATATTGTTTGGCTGTTTGGGGTCCCTGGCCATGTGAATTTGAATTCCATGTAAATTTGAGGATTGGCTTTTTCATTTCTGCAGAAGAGGATGTTGGAATATCGTTAGGGGATGTGCTGACTCTTGATCGCTTTGGTAGTGTTTTCATCTTAAATATATCAAATCTTTCAATTTGTGAACACAAGATGTCTTTGAATTCTTTAGGTATTTCATTTCTTTCAGCAATGTTTTATAGTTTTTAGTGCATAAATCTTTTACCTCCTTATGCTATTGTAAGTGGAATTGTTTTCTTAATCTTTTTTGGATTGTTTACTGCTGGTGTATAGAAACACAACTGATTAGCCTGTTCTTTTGCTGAATTTTTTTAATTAGTTCTAGTAATTGTTTCGTGGATTCTTTGTGATTTTCTAAATATATAGGATCATGTCATCCTATATAATAAAAGCCTAATATGCTAAGTGTTCGGTCAACCAGTTGGCCGTTCAACCAATAAAAGCGTAATATGCTGATGATATGCTGAGGCTGCTCAACCGCTAGCTGTGACGTGCACTGACCACCAGGGGGCAGATGCTCCAGTCGGTATGTTAGCTTGCTGCTGGGGTCTGGCCAATCGCACTGAGTGAGATGGGCTGGACATGCCCTGGAGCTCTCCTGCGGTCCCTCCCCTGTGGGCCAACCTCCTGCATCCCTCCCCGCCCGATCGTGCACCGGTGGGATCACTAGGGCTGGCCTGTGCCCTCTCACAATCCAGGACCCCTCAAGGGATATCGGAGAGCCAGTTTCGGCCCGATCCCATATGCCAGGCCGAGGAACCCCACTGGTGTATGAATTCGTGCACCTGGCCTCTAGTCTTCAAATATAGATAGTTATTCTTTCACATCGGATGCCTTTTATCGTTTTATTTTTCTCTGACTAAAATGTCCAATAACATGTTTAATAGCAGTGGTGAAAGTGGACATTGTTGTCTTGTTCCTGATCTTAGGGGAACCTTTTGGTCTTTCATCACTGAGTATGATGTTAGCTGTGGGTTTTTCATAGATGCTCTCTATCATGTGGAGGAACTTCCCTTCTATTCCTAGTTTGCTGAGTATTTTTATCATGAAAGGATGTAGGATTTTGTCAAATGCTATTTCTGCCTCAATCGAAATGATCATGTGTCTTTTTTCCTTCATTTAATAATGTGTATAAAATTGAATGATTTTCATATATTGAACCACCCTTGCATTTCTGGGATAAAACCCACTTGGTCATGGTGTGTAATCCTTTTAATCTGTTGTTAAACTTGGGGTTTTGCTAGTTTTTGAACTTTATATACATGAAATTACTTAGTATCTAAAATTGAAAGAATTTAGTAAGTTAAAACCTATAAGATATACTTAGGACGGTATGTGGCACAAAGTACCACTATAATGTTATATCATCATCATCATCATCATCAGTATCATTTAATGCAGTGGTTCTCAACCTTCCTAATGCCGCGACCCCTTAATACAGTTCCCAACCATAAAATTATTTTCGTTGCTACTTCATAACTGTAATTTTGCTACTGTTATGAATCGTAACGTAAATATCTGATATGCAGGATGTATTTTCATTGTTACAAATTGAACATAATTAAAGCATAGTGATTAATCACAAAAACAATATGTAATTATATATGTGTTTTCCGATGGTCTTAGGCGACCCCTGTGAAAGGGTCGTTCGACCCCCAAAGGGGTCGCGACCCACAGGTTGAGAACCGCTGATTTAATGGATAGCCCCTTAAGAGGAAACAGGGATTCAGAAGTGAAATGACTTACTGGCGGCCGCACAGCAAATATAGCCCAGAGCTCACCTTGCCATCCTATTTCACATGTGCCAAAGTAAGCTGATGATAAGAGCATTTATTGAGTGCCTGCAGTGTGTGCTGGGCCCTAAGCTGGAGGCTGTATGCTTGTGATTGCATAGTTTTTAACAGTTTAAGATATAATTTACATACTATACAATTCAGCCTTTTATTTACTTATTTAAAAATATATTTGTACTGATTTCAGAAAGTAAGAGAGAGGGAGAGAGAGGTAGAAACATCAATGATGAGAGAGAATCATCGCTCTGCTGCCTCCTGCACACCCCCCACTGGGGATTGAGCCCACAACCTGGGACTGTGCTCTGCCCGGGAATTGAACCGTGACCTCTTGGTTCATAGGTTGATGTTCAACCACTGAGCCATGCCAGCCGGGTGCAGTTCAGCCTTTTAAACTGTACAGTTCAGTGGCTTTTAGTATCCAGAGTGTGCAACTATCTCCACAATTAATATTAACACATTTTATTACCGTGCTCCAGCCTGCTTTCCTGTCCTCCCTCCTCCCACCTAGGTGCCTCTTATGGTGCACAGTCTCACACACTGCTGTTCATGTCTACGGATTTGCCTAATCTGGACATTTTATATAAATATGCTCATCTAATTTGTGGTTCTTTTAGTTACGGTTCATCTGTGTTGTAGCGTGTGTTCATATTTTGTTTCTTTTTATGATTGAATAGTATTATATTATGTGGATATGCCATACTTTGTTTATCCATTCATTAGTTGATGGACTTTGGGGTCATTTTCACTTTTTACTATTATGAATAATGTTGCTATGGGCATTTATATACAAGTTTTGTTTCACCATCTTTTTTTATCTTTTGAGGACTTAAATAGCATTTTATTTTATTGAAAACTTATTTTATTGAAATATAATTGATGTACACTATCCTATTTGTTTCAGTTGTACCTCAGGAATTTGATATTTACCAGGTGTACTGGTTAATAATGCGGATTTTTTTCACTAGATGGAGTTACACATATGTTGATATATATGCAATTTGATATGTATGCTGTTTTGTTGTATTGACAACAAGCTTCAAAACTTCATATGTCAAATTTTCAGAAGGTGTTAACATCATAGATATTTTTACACTTAAAATTGTAGATTTTCATGCCAAAAAAAGAGCATTTGTGGGAAGTTTTAATTCATTATTTTGAAGAAAAGTGCTGCTGAATACTTCGGGAAGCTTATGGTGAACATGCTCCATTTCAAGATACTTGTGAACGTTGGTTTAAACACTTTAAAAGAGATTATTTCGATGTGAAAGACAAAGAATGTCCAGGTCAACCGAAAAAGTTTGAAGACCAACAATTACAAGCATTATTGGATGAAGATGCATGTCAAACTCAAAAACAACTTGCAGAAAGATTAAACGTTGCTCAGCAAATAATTTCTGATCGTTTACAAGCAATGGGAAAGATTTTAAAGGAAGGAAAATGGGTGCCGCATCAACTGAACGAAAGACAAACAGAAAACCGAAAAGTCATCAGTAAAATGTTGCTCCAATGGCACGAAAGAAAGTCTTTTTTGCATCGAATTGTGACTGGCGATGAAAAGTGGATTTATTTTGAGAATCCCAAATGCACAAAATCATGGGTTGATTCAGGTCAACCATCAACATCCACTGCAAGGCCAAATCGCTTCGGAAAGAAGACACTGCTCTGCGTTTGGTGGGATCAGGAAGGTGTGGTGAATTATGAGCTTCTAAGAGCAGGTGAAAGGGTCATTAGACCACCAAAGGGGTCGCGACCCACAGGTTGACCGCTCCCAACAACAAATAATCAATTTGAACCACACTGTGATCGTGAAATGACCAGAATGTGCCAGAAGACACGGCAAAGTATCACACACTTCAAAACCAGTTAAAGACACATTAAAAGATCTTGCCTGGGAAGTATTAACCCACCTGCTAACCAGACCTTGCTCCTTCAGATTACCACTTGTCCTGATCGATAGCACACACACTTTCTGAGCAGCACTTCAAAACATAAAGTGGAAAATTGGGTCTCTGAATGGTTTGCCTCAGAACAAGAAAAGTTCTATTGGGACGGTATCCACAAATTACCTGAAAGATGGGAGAAATGTGTAGCTAGCGATGGACATTGCTTTGAATTAAGCACTTTGGATGTTTCTCTTGAAATTATAGTGTTTTCTTTGATTACAAAATCCTCCATTATTAACCAGTACACCTAGTATATACATTATGAAATGATCCCCATGATAAGTCTAGTTATCATTTCTCACCTTACAAAGTAATTACAATATTTATTGACTGTATCGCCTATGCTGTACTTTATATCCCCATGATTGATTTATTTTATAACTGGAAGTTTGTGCCTCTTAATTTCCTTCACCTATTTCGCAGCCCATCTCATTTTCTTCAGCAGACTTGTGAGGAGTGGGTTCTTGTGTGTGTGTGTGTGTGTGTGTGTGTGCGCGCGCGCATACACAGGGTGCTTGGATTCTCACAGTTAGAACAAATAGAAGGGGTCAAGGGACACTTGGAGGGCACAGCAACAGTTATACCCGGACTGGCACAATGTTTTGACATTTGATCCAACTGCACGGCTGTACTGGTGAATACCAGCCCATGGGATTTGGCCTTACAGGGCCACAGGGCATGTGTGTTTGGAAGCTTGGGCCTCTCCTGGGACTGGGCCACGTGCTGGCAAGGATGGCTTGCTGTTGGCCACACGCTGAGGCAGCTGGTGCCCTGGGCCACTGCAGCAGGCACCTTCCTGCCAGGCATGACCTCTGAATCACTGGGCCCAGCCCGGCACCAGCCTTCATCAGCAGGGGCGACCTCAAGGGTTTCTCTTGGAGAGGCACTCTCCTACCTACCCTCATCCACCCTCCTCCCACCCCGGTGCCCCTTGTGAGTCACGGTTACACCGGGCTGTCTGCCCTGACCTCTCTCCCTCTCCTCTGCCTTCGTTCAGGTGAATACATCAAGACGTGGAGGCCCCGGTACTTCCTGCTGAAGAGTGATGGTTCCTTCATTGGCTATAAGGAGCGGCCCGAGGCCCCTGACCAGACGCTGCCCCCTTTAAACAACTTCTCCGTTGCGGGTACGTCTTAGGGCAAGTGGCTGGGCCAAAGTTTGGGTGCTCCAAGGACGACTGGCTGGTCTTGTGGGCACATGGGGATCGGCTGTTCTTGGACTGTGGGCCTGACCAGGGCCTGTTTTCCCTATTTCTTACCCTTCCCCTGCTCCACCTACGTGTCAGTTGGGTGAGGTAAAGTGGGAAGAGGGAAGAAGCCAGACATTTTTCCCAGCCTCTCCCCCAGGCGGCACTGCCTCTGTGGTTCCAGCTGCTGCTGGCCAGGCCCTGGGGTCCGGCTGGTGTCATGTGCCTCTGCATTCTGGTAGCAGCCTGTTTCTCTGTCCCTCTAAACTAGAGGCATCCATGGCCTCCCTTTCAGCTGATCACAGGGCTAACCTCGCATCCTCCATCCCCTCTGTGGTATCCGAAATGATGCCTACCAGCTGGACCCTGGCTAGTGAAAGCTTGGCAGGCCCAAAGCCCTTGCCTGGATCTTGCATAACCACAGTCCTGCCTCCATCTCTCTGCCCCCTGCCCCCGCCCCCCTCCTGATTCTGCTTCCTTCCTTCCCTGCTGACCTGATCGGTTACCACATCCTTAGCACATTTCAAAGACACCCCCATCGCCACTGTCAGTCCTTAGCACAGACCACCGTTCTCCCCACCTAGTTCCCTGCTCCAGCCTCTTGCCAAGTCTCCCCCTACCCACTGTCTCTGGGACCCAGTCCTGGTCCCCTCTGTCCTGCTTACGCCTTGTCCTGGTTGCTTTCCCGTATGCTGGTGACTCTGGCATGGCTGCTGCCAGTCCTGGCTTCTCACCTGAACTGCCAGCCTGTCTTGAGCAGCTTCCTCCTCATTTCTTCCTGGGTGTTCCCTAGGTCCCTCATACCCACCATGTCCCAAACTGGCCATCTAGTCTCCCCTTTCCTCCCCCAACCTCCCACTCCCTATCTCCATTCATGGAGGGCCGTATTGTCTTCTAGTCCTCAGGCCACAGGCCTCAGCCTCATCCTAGGTGCCTCTCTCTGCCTCCCTCTGGCCTGTCTACCTGCCTTTTCCTCCCCTCTTCATGGCTCCACTCTGTGTAGCCCCAGCCTTCTCCCTGGGCTCCCAGCCTCCATTCTCTCTCATCCTCTACATGGCAACTAGAGGGATCTGTTTAAATCTGTCCATGCCCATTCCCTATTTAAGCCTCCCATAGCTCCCTATTGCTCTCAGGACAAAGTCCAGATTCCTCACCATTCTCCTGAGTCCCGCAGACGGGCTCCTACCCACCTCTCCAGCCAGTCTCACTTCCCTGCTCCTCACACCATGAGCAGAATTTGCCATTCCCTAAGTGTGCTGGGCCCTCTGGCACCTCCGGGCTGTGTACACGACGTACCCTTCTGTCTGACTGACCCATGTTCCCTCTTCCTTCAGGGTTCAGTGTAGAGATGCCCCTTCTTCCAGAAGATGGCCCTAGGTTCCCCCCATCACAGTTCTGACCACTGAGCCGTCATTGTCTAGTAGTGTCTCTCTCTCTCTCTCTCTCTCTCTCTCTCTCTCTCTCTCTCTCTCACATACACACACACACACACACACACACACACACACACACACACGATCTTGTGCCCCACGGGGGCAAGTCCAGAGCTATCTGTCACTAAGGTGTCCTTAACACCATCTGGCATGCGGTTGGCACACAGGATGTGACTTAGGGGATGTGGGCTGTAGGCCAGCAGGGCTGTCCCCTTACCCTCCTGTCTCTGTCCTTCCTCTGCCTACAGAATGCCAGCTGATGAAGACCGAGAGACCGCGGCCCAACACGTTTGTCATACGCTGCTTGCAGTGGACCACAGTCATCGAGAGGACCTTCCATGTAGACTCTCCAGATGAGAGGCGAGTCTGAGCCTCTGCGTGGCTGCCCTTTGAGAGTGGCAGGCCTGATGAGGGGAAGGGGTACAGATGGGCAGACTCCCCTGTACCCCACTTTTTAACAGGTGGAGCTCAGGCCACATCAGGGCCTCTGATTATCTGGAGATGGGTGGAGGGTCAGGGAGCTGCATTGTTAATGCGCATCTCCATTGCTTTTGAGGCAGGCGGTCAGAGACTTAATCAGAAGAGATGATACAGGTTTACCTAGTTTAAAAATCATACAGTATAAGGAAGGTGTCTAGCTTCCCTCTCCCTTCTGTCCCACCCCCAAGTTAACTGCTCTCCTTATGTGCCCTCCAAGAGCTTCTTCCGGAGGGGACGGGCTCGCTCACTCCGGTAGGGCCTTTCACGCCCGACTCCCCTGGTTTTTCCTTGTTACACAAAAGGTAGCATTGTACATGCACTCGAGCTCTTTTACTTAATTTGTCTTGGGGAATGCTCTTGCTTCAGTCTATAGTGAGCTGCTGCTGCATTTTTGTTTTTTTTTAAACAGCTGCACTTGTATGCTCCCTAGTTCATAGAGCAATTCTTTATGGATGGTTACTGGGCTTGTTTCCAACCTTTGGCTCATTACAAGCAATGCCACAGTGCGGTACCTGTGTTTGTCTTGTTGGCATATGTGCTGCTAAATTTGTAAGATGAATTCTTAGATGGAGGCTTGCTGGGTTATAGGGGATATGTATTTGTAATGTTGAGAAATGTTTCTATTAGGCTATGTCTAAGAGTCCACACAGCGTTGTGTTTTCAGATGTTTGGATTTTTACCAATCTGATCAGTGAGAAATGGATATTCACAGTTAGAACAAATAGAAGGGGTCAAGGGACACTTGGAGGGCACAGGGTGGTTTTCATTGGCCTTTCCTCTGGGTTAGAGTTCCTTTCATATATTCAAGGGCCATGTGAATTTCTCTTTCTGAACTGCCTGTTCATATCCTTTGCCTATTTTCCTATTGGGTAGTCTTTTTTCTTATTTATTTCTGAAAGCTCTTTATGCTTTAGGAAGTTTAACCCTTTGTAATGAGTGGCAAATATTCCCCCCTGCCCCTACTTTATCCCTTTGAGCCTCTCTTTGAGAAATACTCCTTTAACTTGTCTCTGGATAAGGATTCAGCTGACCCTCTGGAGAACCCAAAACAGTGCCATCCAAGAGAATTTTCTGCTATGATAGAAATGTTCTATACTTGCAGTGCCCAAGCAGGTGCCCGTGTGCATTTGAAATGTGGTTGGTGCAACTGAGGAATAAAATTCTTTTATTTAATTAATTTAAATTTAAATAGCCACATATGACTAGTGGCTATACTCATAGACAGTGCATTTCTAGAGCATAACAAAACAGTATCACAAGACATATTACCACAATCTGTACTGTAATTATTGTTGCATACCTTCCCAAGATCAAAAATATATTTGCCCCTTCAAGGGGAACAGAGTTACCATCTCAAGCCAGCTGAGGTTACTCAGCTGAAAACTGGGAACCAAAACATAGACTGTCAGTAAAAGCCGATTAAGACCAATAAATGCATAGGACCTGAGTGTTGGCTGAGTTTTGAAAGTATAGATAGGAAGGAGTTGGCCACAGAGATAGGAAGGAGAAGGTGACTCCAGGAAGAGGGACCAGCATATGTAGAGGCCTGGAGGTGAGATAGCTTGTCATTCCAGGAACATCGAGGGTTTTGTGTCACCAAAGAATCAAGCACCAGAGGTTTTGGGAGGGGAGGAGTGAAGAACCTTAAAGCTGGTGAGTTCAGCCAGGGCCTGGACTCCCGGTGGAGATCCCCAGGGGCTTGGCAGGTGGTGACTCAGTTGGGGTTTGTCACAGGTTGCTAAAAGGTTCAAGGGGCTGACAAACAGGAAGCCCTTGATTCAGCGGTACCTGGCACACAGTGTGCAAGCCGGGAAAAGGAGCAGTGGGGAGCTGGCGAAGTGTTTTCGTAGGCAAGAGACCTGCTCTGGTTTTCATTTTAATAAGATACCATGCCCTTCAGTGTGGGGAAGTCCCTTTCTGAAGACTGGGGGATAGGGCCGTGGGGCTGGGGCTACTCTGAGAGCAAACCCCAGCTTCCTGACCTTTATCCCAGTGAGGCGTGAGCCAGAAACCCAGTGAAAGGGAGTCTGCTCTGCTGTGGGCTGTCCTCACTGCCCCAGCCACATAGGCCCAAGCCTGGAGAGAGGTGGGGGGTGGCGGCAGAGAGCTGACAGGGGCCACACTGGTGGCTGGTCCTTGCCTAGATGCTGCAGTGGCCTGCTCACTGCTCCTGGTAGCCTCTCCTGCTCCCCAGTTGGCTCTCCTGGGCAGCTAGAGGGATTCCCTGAGCCCCGTCCTGCCAACTTATTTCCAGTGCACATTTAGTATAATAAATGAAGGTCTAGGGTGATTAAGGGGCACATATGTAATACTTTCAATAATAAAGATATTTTTAAAAAGGTTCAGATTCCTGTGCCCTGAGTCAGCAATTCAGCATTTGTCATGTTTGCCTCATGCTGAATCTTGAACTTCTGTTCATATATGACACTTACCTCCTTAATACCTCAGCAGGCATCTCCTAAGAATAAGGACATTCTCCTACAGAATCATGGTATCATTATCACATCTGAGGTGATTCTTTATAATATACTGGAAGCCCGGTACACAAAATTTGTGCACGGGGGTTGGGGTCTCTCAGCCTGGCCTGCGCCCTCTAGCAGTCCAGAAGCCTTCGGGGGATGTCCGACTGACGGCTTAAGCCATTAGCGGGACATCCTTAGCACTGCCCTAGAGGTGGGAGCCCAGCTTCTGGCTGAGCGGCGCTCCCCCTATGGGAGCACACTGACCACTAGGGGGCAGTTCCTGTGTTGAGCATCTGCCCCCTGGTGGTCAGTGCGTGTCATAGCAACTGGTCAGTCCACTGTGGTTGATTTGCATATTAGCCTTTTATTATATAGGATATCTAGTAACATCCTCCCCATAGCCACGCCATACTTGAATTTCCCCAGTTGTCCTCAAAATGCTATTTTGTAAAGCAGGATTTATTCAAGGTACATGTTGTCTTTTTGGCTTATTTTAATGTAGTTCAGACCTTTCCCTTTTCCCCCACATGACGTTGATTTTTTTTAGGTAAACCAGGCTAGTTGTCTTGTAGAATGCCACACTATGGACATGTTATCTTACTGACTTTTGGCACTGTTTACTTTGGTCTTCTGTACCCATATTTCCTGTAAACCGGGAATTAAGTCTGGAGCAGGATTGGCAAACTATAGCTCAGCCTCCTGTTTTGTAAATAAAGTTTTATTGGAACACAACCATACCCATGGCTGCTTTTTCCCTACTGTGGTATAGTTGAGTCGTTGTGATAGAGACCATGTGGCCTGCAAAGCCTAAAGTATTTACTGTTTGGCGATATACAGAAGTTTGTAGACCCTGGTCTTGGCAGGTATGCTTAATAGTGTATTACATTAGTGTGATCTTTTAAATGTAAATCTTATAATGTAATTTCTCTTCTTAAAAGTGAGTGGCTTTTAGTCCCACTTGGAATAAACCACAAAGTCAATGCTATATTCTACGAAGTCCTACATGGTCTGGCCCCCTCTCCAGAATCATTTCCTACCACTAGTGTCCTCACTTTAGCCACACTGGTCTCCTCACTGTTCCTTAAATAGGCCAAACACACTTTCTACTTGAGGACCTTTGCACTTGTTGTTCCCTTTGCTTAGAATCTTCTTCTCCCAGATATCATTACGATTCTCTCCTTGACTCCATGAGGTCTCTGCTCAGATGTCACCTTCTCAGAGTGTTCTGCCTTGGCCCCATATCTCTTACCCTTACCCTGCTATTTTTCCTCCATAGCACCTGTATATTTATATGTGCTGGGAGCATTCAGTAAATGCTTGTTGAATAAGTAAAAGGATAACTAAAACTAATTCTCTGTTGGCCACACCCTGTTCTAAGATCTTTATATATATTAACTCATCCTCAAAACATTTTTAGGAGCCCTAACCGGTTTGGCTCAGTGGATAGAGCGTTGGCCTGCGGACTGAAAGGTCCCAGGTTCGATTCCGGTCAAGGGCATGTAACTTGGTTGCGGGCACTTCTCCAGTAGGAGGTGTGCAGGAGGCAGCTGATCGATGTTTCTAACTCTTTATCCCTCTCCCTCTCTGTAAAAAATCAATAAAATATATTTAAAAAAAAAAAATTCTAGGAGGCAGTTCCTCACCTGTTAAATAGGGATAATGATAGTGAAATGGAGGCACAGGGAATTAGAATAAGAGAAAGATCGAGGGGGCCATCTCAGGGTATCTGTGAACAGCGGGGGACTTCAGATATCCTCCAGCTGTAAACACCACTCTGGGTCAGAGGACAGCCCTGGTAGGGAGAGAGGCCCCCCATTCGTCATCAGACCAGCAGTGAGTTGTTACTCCTGACGCTGTGAAGAGGACAGACCTGTGTGCTGAGGGTAGACCTTCCACTTCCAGTTTACTGGGCTTCCCTCTGGGGTGCACTTAATCCTGCTCAGCTGGGGATCTCGGGGTTGGGGCCCAGGCTCTGGAGTCAGACCAGCACTGTGCCACTTTCTCAGTGGGGCTAGTTCCCTGTCATGAAGAACAAAGGAGGAAGTAAATGTGAAAGCTGGCCTGGGGCTGCCCTATGGAATCCTGCTTGTTGGCACCTTTTCTCTTCTCCATCTCCTCTGCCCGGAGCACTGCTGTATTCTACTCATGCCCTGTCACTGCCCCCAATCTGTGTCCTACACAGCAGCTGCTAATTTAAAACAAATTGGGTCCTGTCATCCCTAAGTAAACCTTCAGTGACTTCCCCTGATGTTAAGATGTAAATCTTAATACAGCAGTACACGTAGCCCAGTGGGATCTGGGCCTGTCCTCCCTCCTACCCTCATCTGCTCTATCCCCCTGTCTGTCAGTTTCAGCTCCAGTACACCTGCTGGGCCTTCTTTAGACACCCAGGCTCCCTCCTGCTCAGGGCCACACGGA